AAAAGAACAATTCTGGAGGTATCACTATACCTGACTTCAAACTATATTACAAAGCCATAATAGTAAAGACAGCATGGTACTGGCACAAAAACAGACATGAAGACCAGTGGAACAGAATAGAGGACCCAGATATGAAGCCAGACCAATATACCAATTTGTCTTTGATAAAGGAGCTAAAAATATATGATGGAGAAATAGCAGCCTCTTCAACAAAAACTGCTGGGAAAACTGGTTAGCAGTCTGCAAAAAACTGAAACTAGATCCATGTATATCACCCTATACCAAGATTAACTCAAAATGGATCAAGGATCTTAATATCAGACCCCAAACTCTAAAGTTGATACAGGAAAGAGTAGGAAATACTCTGGAGTTAGTAGGTATAGGTAAGAACTTTCTCAAGAAACCCCAGCAGCACAGCAACTAAGAGATAGCATAGATAAATGGGACCTCATAAAACTAAAAAGCTTCTGTTCATCAAAAGAAATGGTCTCTAAACTGAAGAGAACACCCACAGAGTGGGAGAAAATATTTGCCAACTATACATCAGACAAAGGACTGATAACCAGAATATATAGGGAACTTAAAAAACTAAATTCTCCCAAAACTAATGAACCAATAAAGAAATGGGCAAGTGAACTAAACAGAACTTTCTCAAAAGAAGAAATTCAAATGGCCAAAAAACACATGAAAAAATGCTCACCATCTCTAGCAATAAAGGAAATGCAAATTAAAACCACACTAAGATTCCACCTCACCCCTGTTAGAATAGCCATCATCAGCAACACCACCAACAACAGGTGTTGGCGAGGATGCGGGGAAAAAGGAACCCTCTTACACTGTTGGTGGGAATGTAAACTAGTACAACCACTCTGGAAAAAAATTTGGAGGCTACTTAAAAAGCTGGACATCGATCTACCATTTGATCCAGCAATACCACTCTTGGGGATATACCCAAAAGACTGTGACACAGGTTACTCCAGAGGCACCTGCACACCCATGTTTATTGCGGCACTATTCACAATAGCCAAGTTATGGAAACAGCCAAGATGCCCCAGCACTGACGAATGGATTAAGAAAATGTGGTATCTATACACAATGGAATTTTATGCAGCCATGAAGAAGAACGAAATGTTATCATTCGCTGGTAAATGGATGGAATTGGAGAACATCATTCTGAGTGAGGTTAGCCTGGCCAAAAGACCAAAAATCGTATGTTCTCCCTCATATGTGGACATTAGATCAAGGGCAAACACAACAAGGGATTGGACTATGAGCACATGATAAAAGCGAGAGCACACACAAGGGAGGGGTGAGGATAGGTAAGACACCTAAAAAACTAGCTAGCATTTGTTGCCCTTAATGCAGAGAAACTAAAGCAGATACCTTAAAAGCAACTGAGGCCAATAGGAAAAGGGGACCAGGAACTAGAGAAAAGGTGAGATCAAAAAGAATTAACCTAGAAGGTAACACCCACGCACAGGAAATCAATGTGAGTCAATGCCCTGTATAGCTATCCTTATCTCAACCAGCAAAAACCCTTGTTCCTTCCTATTATTGCTTATACTCTCTCTTCAACAAAATTAGAAATAAGGGCAAAATAGTTTCTGCTGGGTATTGAGGGGGTAGGGGGGAGAGAGAGGGGGCGGAGTGGGTGGTAAGGGAGGGGTAGGGGCAGGGGGGAGAAATGACCCAAGCCTTGCATGCACATATGAATAATAAAATAAAAAAAAAAAGAGAGTGAACATTCGTTTCAGTAAGTAGCTTTGATAAGACCAAAGAAAATGTCTGGTCAGTGCAGGAGGTGGAACCAAGTTCTGCTGCAACTCTGCAGGTCTTATTCCTCATGGTGATTCCATCACTGGTGCAGACAGAATACAGACACCAGCAAAGGCAGAGAAATGCTCATCAAACCCACTTCTGCCCATTGTGGAGAAGGCATTCTAGGCTTTGGTATTAGAAAGGCTTATTTGAAGGGAATACATGCCTGTTTGAAGTGAGAAAGATTCTGACTTTCATCTGGACAGATGATTGGGACCCACATTTCTCCCCTGAGGAATGGATTTATTCATTGGATGTTTGAGGTCCACCATCCTTGCCACCATTTGGAACAAGAGGAATTTTCCCTGCATTCAGATGAACGGGGATGCTTCTGCATCACCTTGTCTATGAACCACTTTTTGTATTTGTAAGAAATATTTTTCTTCAGGAGAGCTTGCTTGGAAATGTAGACTATAATTAATTTAAAACTCATCTTTTATAACATTTATTGGTATCTTGTAAATAATTTAAGAAAACTAACCAAAGTTATAAACTCTGCAGAGTTGGGGTGGCACCCACAGGGAAGAGGATGTCAAAGTGCTCATAGTTTAAAAAATATGTGAAGTGAGAGGCTGAATAGGCTTGCATGGCTATTCAAGCACAGTTTTGGAAGGGGCTGGTATGGGTGATTGACAGATCTCTTGCCCTATCACCCTTCCCTTAGAAGAAAGTGAAATGCAAGAATGTGAACTACTCTATGACATAAAGGAAAATGTCTTTTATTAGTTATATCCATTTTAATGTGTAAAGAAACTCCCAACTAAAGATGCTGACTGAAGTACCGAATGTTCATGATTGGGTATCTTTTAGCAGAGTGTTGCTTGGAGTTCTCTAGTGACAAAATTTTGTTGACTGCTTTTATTGCTTTATAAGTACACTGTGAAATGGCACTGAAAAGTGATTAAAACTTTGTAGTTTCAAATTCCAAAAATTAAACATGTCCTAAGTTAAGCTAAGAAGGAAGAACATACATAACTTAGTGGCCATTTGAATGCTGAAGGAAAAGAAGAAAAACCAAAATTACCTGAGTGGCAGCATAGCCTTTTAACATTTTTATGTGTGAGTTATGGGATAGAGGGTGTGGTGTTTCCAGTGAACACAATACAACTGTAGTCACAATAAAAACCATCTGTTTTGCATGTGCCAAATCTATACCCCTGTATCAAATGGTATTTATGACGCTGACCTTGTTTACAGTGTGACTAGACAGACAAGGTGCTGTTCTGACTATTGTATAGGTAAGCCATACTCCACAAAAATGGAGGTTTATCTGTGAACAGAAAACGGACAGTCTGATGAACAATGGGGATCCCAAGCCCTTGTCTGGGCAGCAGTTGGTAAATGGTATTTCTCCTGGCATTGATGACTCTATTGTTTATTCAACTGACTGTACTGGAGCATTGCTCAGAATATTTGAAAGTAATTTCATATGAAAGTTCATTGATCATGCAAGCAATATGTGGAATTTTAAAATTATTCATACCATACAGAAAACATTTTTTCCTACTTCTAAAACTATCTTGGTTTTATTTGTTACACTTAAATACAGCTGGAATTTATTTTGGTACAAGGAGTAAGATAGGGCTCCAGATTTTTTTTCCTTTCAAATTGCTGGCCAATTACTTCAAAACCATGCATTAAGGATGTAATTTAAAAATGTGTGTGTGCCCAGAGCTATTAAAATGAATATTAATGAAAACTTGGAAAAATTGTGGCATGACTTTCTGTTTACAGATGGTTTTATTCTAATTTAGGTGAATTCAAGTCTTAATGAGTCTTTATAAGAAATAAATTCAGGAACTAGCAAAAATAATGGAGGTGCTGAACTGAATCTGCTAAGAGGAAAAAATGGTGCATATCAGAAATAAAGAAACAATAAAAACATTTTGAGATGAGTGTTTATTAAAGCATTTCTTGGGAAGCTATAAATCTTGGGACTGTGCTATTCTACCGGGAGTATTCCAGTTTTTGAGTAGAATCAGTCACCTTTCTGCTTTGTCACCAAACCCAGTCTAACTGATATAGTACATATTTTTCCTGTCTTCAGTTTTTATTTTATTTTTTCACTTAGCAAGAATTATTTATTTAATTTGAAAACTGTTATTAGAAATAAGGAATATTTTGAATGTTGAAGAACTAAAGAAGAAACGACAGTAAATCAAAGTAGTAAAGATCTTAGCAGAAGGTATAAAATAATTTGACAGATGTCATTCAATGTATAAAAATGACAGCTATTTTATTCTGATCTGGATGTTAAGTGATTGAATAATCTGCACTTTATTTTTACAACAAATACACAAATAACCAGTAAAAGAGCTGATTTTAGGAATTTATTATTTTTTTTAAAAGCAACTTTCAGGGTTTGTCATTGTGCAGGTTCAGCCCAGTCTCCTACAGCATGGTATGGTGATAACTGATTTTTTTTTAATAACAATGACTCAGAGGCACTGAAGATTCATAATTATCAGAAAAATAAAAGAGAAGAAGAGTTCAATGTTAAGTGTATTTAAAAATCATATTCTAATTCTTTTAAATTGGTTATCCAAGTATGATAATACAGCAGAGCTCAGATAATTAGAAAAGGCAATTGACTAGAACATTCCATTCCCACCTGGTATGCATTAATTAACAGGCTTTTTACTGCGTATGTCTTTATATAGTTGGCAAACTAATTCAACCCATTTTACACAGCATTTTTATTGAATTGGCACTGGGCTGAAACTGCTGCTTACCATCTTATAATTATCACTTTTTCTAGTTCTTCAGTGGATTTTCCCCCATCTCATGTAGTGTTAGCAATTTAGTGTACATATGACAATCCAATGTCCTCTCTGCTCATTCTAATAGCATTTACCATGAGGTTACTTATGGTCAGATACCCAAAACTATTAATTTATTCATCAGCTCTGTTCTTGGCCTTGGTAAAAGAGAGATTTTGTGTCTCACTGAATTATGTACTAAGCTCCAGGCAAGAAACTGTGAGCTGGTTGTCAACAGAGGGGACCACAGTTCTTAGCAAGGTTCTTAGTAATGCTGTGCAAATAAGGGTCTCGTCCTTTCAGTAACTATTTGTACATTTATAAAAGCATTACAGTCATGGGAAAAACCAACAAGCACAGCTTGGTAGAATAACCTGCCATGAAATATCATTGGCTTTATAATAATTTACTACAACTGTTCTTTTTATTCACACTGGATAGGAAATGCTTCCATCTAACACATGGAATACGAATATATACAACGAAAATTTGGCTTTTATTAAAAGAAGAAACTTCATAAGGACAACAACATGGGATCTGAAAAAATAATTTTCTGCAGTTTCGTGATCATGATCACGTCTCCTGTCTTTTACAGGGAATGACATAGAACTGAGAGATTTTTGTAAACCAGTTAAAGAATTTCTTGCCCGTAACAGCCTACTGTGAAAGTATTACTGTGTTCACACAGTGTATAGAAACTTCTCCTTCCTAAATATAATTCTGAATGACTAGGGATGATCTGATGGGTCAGTTTCAAGGACAAACCCTGCTAATCCATTTCAAAATCATCATATATTTGCAGCTTCCTATTTCATTAAAACACTTTACCACAACAACTTCTTGAAAACTGTATGGACATCTGATTGATGTGCTGTGGGATCCTGAATGTTGCCTTCCCACCTGATGTCCACCATCTTGTTGCACAGCAATGTCGGCATCTTGGCTTGAATTTTCTGATGGCTACTTGGGTCATGTGACAGTGGTATGGGATAGACTGTTTTGTACTGCCAGCAGTCAAAACAGTTGCTAAGGGCTCAATGGCTCTATGCTGTGAGCCTGAGGAACCCATTCTTCTAAGGAATGGTTTTCTGGGGCCCAGCAAATGTCACTACAGGTGACTGAGACATTTCTGGCCCCTGCTTCATGAGAGACTATACTAAAGACGAAGCCTTGTATTCTAAAAGTAGACAATGGAGCAGGGTTGGGTGAGGAGGAGGGAGGTTGCTTTCATAAGTCCTCAAAAGCATCTCTGCTTTTAGCTCTCTGACAAGCTGGGAGATTTTCTAGAAGTGGCAGCCAAGGGAAAAAGGTAGGCCCTGAAGTATACTTGAAGAAGTGTCAGCTTGACAGTTGGCACTGCAGATTCAGTGTCCATGGTGCCCTACAGACTATTTTCCTTGGCTGTACCTTTTATGCTGGTGGGCTTCCCCGTTCCCTCAAACAATCCCTGTTTTTGCTTTCTAAGGTAGAGATTTCAAATAGTGATCATCTCTCTTCAGCTCTAACTGATGAGTGGCAGGTCTTTAGAACTGCAATGTGAGAAGGAATATAAAAATACTCTTGGGTTTAATGGAACACAAATCTGTGGCTGATTAGCAATGTCTGCCATGGACACAAGAATTGTTGTTTGTGGAATCCATGCCACATCTTAATATCTCTGTTAGATGCAGGGTGAGAATTAGGCTAGCTCGATGAGTTCCTGAGGACCTCATCCTTGGAGACCGTAGCCTCAAACACTAAGGTTATATTAATTTTATATTCTACTGTGTTCCAGAAAAGATTTAAGAATTTGAGGGTTTTGAGACAGGAATTTTAGGACTTGTGAAAAACTGAGGGGGAGATCATTTTGAACATGCTGGTACATTGCCTTTGACAATGACCTCTGTATTTATCCCTGGGTGGTAAAGCCTGATGTTTCGGAAGAGATTATGTGGCTTACTGATTAAATAGATTCAGAGAGACTTGGAGGAACCAGGTGGGTCCCTGTGCACGGTGTTATGGATCTGGTAGACTTCCCCTTGCTTAACAGCTGACAATATTATTTAGGAGTATGATGAAAAGCCAAGGAGAAATATATGTGCCTCTACCCACGTGTCTTTTTTTGGGTTAATCAAAGAACCTTGGGATAGTTTCCTTATTATGACAGGACCATTGTCTCTTAGCTCTACCTAGAACACTCTGGTGTACAACTTTACCAAAAAAGAAAGAAAAAAGGAATGATATCATGTGGTAGGTGCTAATGATGCTACTTTAGGAAGATCAACTTGTATTTGTCTCTGGAAAACAGCATCAATCACTACACATCTGAAGTGATTTAAACCAAAGCCAAATCTTGATTTTTTTTTTTTTAACAAGGATCATTAATAGGTTGCTCTTCGACAATGCCACTGTCTGTTGATTTAGGGACCTGTGTCTGGCCAAAGCCAGCCACCTCTAGCTACTGCTGGTCTGTGGGTTTTAGAAACTGTCTGATGCTCCCATCAATACTTCCCTATCAATGCACACGACTGATTCACTTACACATCAACATGGCAACATACCTGATCCATCAGTAACACCTGCTCTCTTCCTCACTTGGAAACTGGGGGACTCTGAAAGGAAAATGAAGCATATATTTGTATACCTCTGCAAATCCCAAAACAACATTCTTTTGGATAGCTGTTTGATGTTGAGTTTTTGCCATCCTGGGGACTCCGAGCTTTTCCAAAGTTGTTGGCAAAGTTTTCTGCCCTCTTGGGTGAGGATTCCTTGGTTCCCAGGTCAAGGATCCAGGGTCAAGTCACCAAGATGGAGTGGAGGAGGGAAGGCAGCATTTATAATCCCGGCAGTCATCTCTTATCTGACTCATGTTTCACTCAGAGAAATGATTTTCCAACGGGTCTACATGAGACAGAATCCCATGAGAGCATCTTGGCAGTTTCACTGTCTCTGGAACCTTCCAGAGGTGATGGCGGCTGGTTAGAAAGGTGGCTGTAGTTACCTCATTATTGGTCTTCAGGCAATTGAAAATTTCTATTTCTTTCCACTGATCACAATTGTCAGTGTATTGGCACTGCCAACCAATTTTTGAAGTGTGTGAACATCAGTGGGCTTAATCACCACTCACCCCCTCTAGCTGAAAAGACTTGTTCTAACAGCATAGAGGATCCTCCTCCTCAAAGTTTCTGAGACAGCTCAGAGCATAAACTTTAGGTTCTAGACAGAAGGCCTTGGAGGAGGTCGGGAAGGGGGTGGTGCCCTATTGGGAGGTGGGGCCTGAGGAGGAGGGGGAAGGGTGGAAGGTGGGGAGGGGATGAGAGGGGTGGGAGCACTGGGGGGTGGGGGAGGGCAGTGGGGAGCAGGGGGTGGGGGGGTATAGATGGGAGCAGGGGGTGGTGAGGTGGTGTGGTAGGCATTGTTGAGTGGGTACTTGGCCGGTTGGTTGTTCTTGACTCTGGTGAAGTTGATACAGCGCCCCTAGAAGAGAACGAGAGAAGGACTGGTGAGCTAATGATAAGACAGGTGGAGAGAGGGTGTAGCTTGAAGGAAAGACTTAGTGAAAAGCAGACCTGCTGGTGGTGGTTGACAGTCCACCAGCACATGTAGGACCTGACATCAAATTAGCTATCTGTTTCCCTTCCCAGGTTGACCAGGTCACAAAATTATTTGTTAAAATTCATTTTTTCCTAGTGTCTCTAATTCTCTCAGGAGGCGGGGCAGGTAGGAAGGGAAGAGCACTGACCTTACTGGGCGCGTGGCCCAAAGCTGAGCTAGAGACTGTCATGTTTCATCTCAATAGCCTTGCCAGTTATGTGCTGTGACCAAGCATTACCTTTCACAGATGAGGAACTTGAGGCTCAGAAAAGTCAAGTCCTTTTCCCAAGGCCAAACAACTCCAACAGACTCCAGAACCTCTATTCTTCCTGCTGCACTGCATGGGTTTTCCCCAATTTTGTAAATAAGAGTAATTTACTTAAGTTCACCCCGGTCGCACTCCTGAAGGCAGCTGATGGTTAATAACATGAACATGTCCTACCTTGTAGTTCAAGGGTGCAGAATTAATTTGTGATCTCAGTTACCATGGTTTGGGGTGATCTTCAGAGGTCCTGGTACATTTGCCTCCCTTATGCTCCCCTTAGTCCCCCTCAACTGCTGAGCTGGGCAGCGAGTTAAGGAGGCAGCTCTCCTTACTGATGTGGGAAAGACACAAATCAGTACAGCTTCCCTCTCCATGACTCTGTCCTCCCCAAAGCTCCGTCACAGCTTATCCTGTGCTCAGTCTGGTCATGGGAGTCTCCCTTCTAGGTATTCTGCACCTGTGCAGGTATCCTTAAGAAATTCAACCTGGGAACATTTTATTTCAAAGCAAGCATCTATCTGCTTTTTTTTTTTTTTTTTTTGCCACTTCTCAGGGACTTAATGGGACAATGTTAAGAGAGACTCCTGGGACCTTCACAGCAGCCTCTTGAAATTCCAGTGTTTGAAGCCAGCTCTAAGTAGCCTCACCTCCCTTTATTGTGCTCCTCACCAGGCACTCAAGGTCTTCCACCTCATGCTATCTCTGGTGTATAAACTCCCTTCATGTTCCCCACAAGACCTGTGTGCACTCCTCCCTGCCCCGCCCTTGCTGGGCCAGGTAGAGTATGGTCACCCTGTGTGCTCGTAGCCCACCCTGTCTTTCCAGACCCATGGGGCATCTCCCTTACTGCTGTCTCCATCTTGTGTCTGGATACCTACAGAATCCCTACCCATGGAGGCCAGGTGGGGTCACACTTCTGAGGCTGCCCTTTCCTCTTCTTCTTCTGCTCTTTTTAACCTCACTGCCAGGATGCTGAGCTATCTGGGGCCTGGGCTGGGGTGAGAGACTGAGCCTGTCCTTGCCCTCCACAAGAACACTCATCTTGTAGTGTCCAGCCTGAGCCCAGATTTGCCTTATCTGGCCATCGAGGAAGGGCTTGAAGGGGAACAATTGAACAGGGTGAGGATGTGGAATTTAAGGAGCAATTCATTCTAGGACAAGAAGGAAATGTGGGTGTGTGATCTGGGACTTTTGGCTCAAGGATGAAATGTGGCAGGGACATGCCGCATGCTTGTGTGAGATGATAGGCCAGGCAGACCCTTTCTTATGGGCAGACCTCCCCACTCATCCTTCAAGTCCTACACCAAGTCCCTCATCCTCCTCCTGTTCTCCTTGATGACTGCAGCTCCACTGTTCTTTGTTTCTTTGAGTTCCTCTTGGGTTATTGTCTACACTACAGTGTGCAGCCTGCACACTACGGTTTTATCTGAAAATGCTTTGCTTCTCTGTCCAGAAGAGAACCTACTTATAGAAGGCAACAGATTAGCTTTGTACTTTGCTCCTTCACAACCCAGAGCCTCATGGGCTTCTCTGCATAGTAGGGAGATTCTCTATCAAAATGGAGTTGTTTGAAGCCACTTGGGAAGAGTAGGGCTTGGGCAACATTAGCAATGAGCTGGAAATACCTTTACAGACACCACAATAGCCAGAGAGCATGTTGGTGAGAAAGGGTCAAGCTCAGATTGACTGTAATTGGTGTAGGGATGACAATATCCTGTGTGAACGCCAGCACCCCAGTTCTTTTGACTTTGTATTGCATAAGATCAAGCCAGGACCTAATCCTGCTGGGTTCCAATTGGAGGTCCACTCACTGCAGAAGTAAGTTACTGTTTTCTCATTACCAGGCTCAGAGCTCCTAGTTCACATTGATTTTGTAACCCAGTAGTATAAATTCCCGGCTGGCCAACAGCCCTCTTTTATAGCCATATAAATCTAAGCTTGGTTACAGTTTATTTATGATGCTGGATAAAGCTCTTTCCTTCAAGATGTTATGGCCTGATGGTTACCATCTGTGATAAATTCTTGTAATGACAACTCAAGAGTCGGGATTTACTGTACTACCTAGTCTGCTTTGTTCCTAGACATCTAACGTGTACCAGGATGCTCAAGGGCTTCATTTCCTTTCAAGATGAAGGGAGATTCTGAGCCTGGGCAGATGATTGCTGGTGCCTGGGGTCAGGTCCCCATCTGGCTGGCTTCAGATCTTTGGAGCTAGCCACGGGGCTGTAGTAAGTGAGGAGGCCAATTGGTTCAGAAGCCTACTTGCTTGTTCCATGCAACTGTGGACCCTACTATTTTTACCAAAGATTGTGTCGTCCATGGACAAGATAGGGTCAGGAGCTCCCAGTCTTCCTTTACCAGTACTTCTGTTCATAACTCATATTAGGATTTCCAAACTGTTCCAAATGGACTAAAAGGATCCTCAGAAGAAAAGATGATCTCTCATGTCTATCAGCTGAAGATGGAAAGACAGGGTAGTGGGGGCTGGGGGCTAGGGAGTAGGGGAGAGGCAAGGAAGCCCCCTTTCCTACGGTCAGTAACTGTGCACCCACAGGTCTCCTGTGCCTGTGTACTGGGCTGTAATTCATCACAGACTCTAGTATGTTACAGCTGAGCACAAGCACTCCCATGAGCATCCAGAGGAGAGGGGAGGAGCAAGCTCAGGCCTCCGCCTTACTCCCGTGGTGGAACACCTACAGTGTGAGCTACAGTGGGGCTCATTATACCACCTGCCACTTACAGGCATTATAAGGGTTCCCTTAATCACTGCTGGTGAAGGGTCTGGAACAGTGTCTGGCAGATCATGTTTGGTAAACACAGCTGAGTTTGATGTTGTCTTTCTGTAGACGGGAAACAGATGCTCAGAAAGTAATGACCTTGTCTCTGGTAGACAGCCAGTTGGAGGTAGTTTGAACTGCAAATTAGAGCATCTTATGTCACACCTGGCTTCTAGAAGAGAATTGGTAAATAGGGAGAAAAATGTGGCATGGGGTATGGCTGAAGCAACCCCTAGGGCCTTTGTGTCCCCTCTTCTCCCATTGCTACATAACTCCTGTCACTTATTTCTTATTAAAACCTCCCACAGTGCTTTGACAACACAGCTGATTGATGATGCATTTGCATGTACTTATCCTTCTCTCCCCCCCACCCCCCCAAAAAAGGTGCATTGTCAGCATAAACATATCCCTGGGGCAATTTACAGTAAGACACACGGTCTTCATGAGAGAGGTGTGGGCTCCAAATTAAGTTCTTAAAACCTGGAGCCAGAGACTCCAACATAAGCACCGTAACACTTAGACCATATAATTGGCCTAAAGATTAGTTTACACGACATCAGTTTTGCTTGCGAGAGGATAATAGAAAGGCCAGATGTTCTTGGTGTCACAAATGCCAGCAAATATGCACCAGTGTTTGGTTAAAAGGTTGCTAGGATGACTGGAGCTCTTGCTGCATAACACTGGTCTTTATTACCCAGTTTAATTCTCTGCAGTATTGTTTTTGGGTCGTTTGATTCAGAATCAAGATTGTGCTTTGACCTCAGTTTACCTGACCTTCCTCATTCGCAAAGTATAAATGACAATTCTTTTTCACACACTGGCAGCCACATGCTCTGGTAATGCACCAATATCTCCAAATAAATTGGGAGAACTAGTAGAAACATCAGCCCCATCACTTTTATTTATTATCAGTGCCTATGAGCTGAGTGTTTTTTTTTTTACCTTCATTGTACAGAAAGGAAAGAGAGGCCTCAGACCTACTTAAGTCATTTGCTGATAACTACACAGCCAGAAAAAGGTAGAGTGGGACTAAAACCTAGCTCTCCTTGCTTCAGGAGCTCACCCTCTTTTAACTGCATTGTATTGGGTATCAATAATAAGTGCAAATGACTTCTTGAAGGACTTGTAGATAGTATTACACAATGTAGCACTTGGCCACAATCTCTCTGTTCTTGATATAGCTGTCAAGAGATTTTTTTCAGGACATGATTTTGTCTGGTCAATTTGCTTGCCAGCTCGAAATTCTTCCATGATTCTTCCTCACATTTAAAATAAAATCCAAACACTGGGCATATGCAGACCTTTGTAATTTGGTCCTTTTTGTTACCTTTCAATTAATTTCTTACTCGTTTTACTGCAGGGTGTCCAGCCTGGACCATCTTAAGCCTTCTGTGAATACTTATTCAATAACAGAATATAACATGGCAACTTGGTCCTCTCTTGTGAGTATTTTTCATATTAATTTTGCTGCCAATTGGTTGGTGAGCATCTTTGAGACAGCATCAGGTTCTCTCCTCTTGAAACTAGTGCTACTATAAAAATCCCAAAGCTTAAGTTTAAGTTGGCAATTGACAAATGATGCTCATATACCTGTGGGTCTCTGAGTTGGAGCAAAATTTCTTAGAAATCTCAGATTTCCCCTTAGGTTTAGGTTCTCAGAAGGTCAAGGCACCATTAACATAGCTGTGAGTTTAAATATTCTTGAGTTACCTCCTCATGGCCTTTTTGGACATCCCTAGGCTCTTGGGAGAGGGACAGTAAGGGCTCTATATGCTCCCTTTGGTTTTCAGATTTCAATTGTTACCCTTAAAAACACTGGATTACTTTTGATTGATTTATGA